GGGAGGGTCGGCGCAGAGGGAGCAGGGTGCTGTTGGAGGGTGGGGGGGCGGGTGCTGTCGGGTGAGGGAGCGGGCGCCGTCGGAGGGTCGGCGCTGAGGGAAAGGGGCTTTGTCGGAGGGTGAGGGAGCGGGCGCCGTCGGAGGGTCGGCGCTGAGGGAGCAGGGTGCTGTCGGAGGGTGAGGGAGCGGGTGCTGTCGGAGGGTGAGGGAACGGGCACCAGAGGGTCAGCGCTGAGGGAGCGGGGCGCTGTCGGAGGGTGAGGGAGCGGGCACCGGAGGGTCAGCGCTGAGGGAGCGGGCGCCGTTGGAGGCTCAGTTGACAGGTGAAGCTGCTACCACTGGCCCTGAGGTACTCGGAGTGCTGGGTGGCGCTAGGTGAATGCAGCTGCTTTTCCAGCCGTGCTAACCGCTCTCCCCTTTCCCCCCCGGCAGATTTCGTGCAGGTTTTTGACATCCTCATCTCAGCCGAAGGCAGTAACTCCTCGTTTCACCCGGAGATCCTGTTCCTGAACGGGTCCGGCTTCACCCTTGCCAAAGTCGGTGACGCTGCCACCCTGTACTGCCACATCATGTTGCTAGGCGACTCAGCTGAGCCACGCTATGCCGTGCGCTGGGAGGCGAGTCGCTACGGTGAGCTGACGGTGGCCCAGTTTGATCAGAGCCAGGACGAAGGGCCCTTCATCCATCCTGCCTACCGAGACAGGCTCAGCTTGGTCTCCAATGGCCCCGAAAGCCTGCTGCACTTTGACCCTGTCCAGGAGCAGGACTTTGGAGAATACCTCTGCAAGGGGCAAGTGGTGGGCCAGGAGGGTGAGACCTTCACCTCGCTGTCTGTCCTGGCCGAGGGTAAGGTGGTACTTGTCACTCTCTGTCTCTCTCTCCCTCTCTGTCTCACTCTCTACGTGTACATCTCTTTCAACTCTCCATCTGTCTCTCTCACACACACTCTCTACGTGTACGTCTCTCTCAACTCTCCATCTGTCTCTCTCTCTCTCTCTCTCTGTCTCACTCTCTACATGTACATCTCTCTCAACTCTCCATCTGTCTCTCTCTGTCCCTGTGTCTCACTCTCTACGTGTACATCTCTCTCAACTCTCCATCTGTCTCACTCTCTACGTGTACATCTCTCTCAACTCTCCATCTGTCTCTC